TTTTTTTTATTCAGCATAAGTTTCAAATGTAGCATGTGTAACTTAAGTACAGTAAAACACGAGTGTGTTTTCATGTGAATAATCAGTTTCTTAAAAGAAATGTTCTGCTTTTATGCAGCTTACTTTGGAATTAGCTGACATATTTGCGTTTGTAAGATCTGGGGGTGGGTGGTGGCTTCCTCTGTGAGGTCTGATCACATTAAAAACGATATATCATAGCTGGGCACCAAGTCCACGAGGATAACATTTTTAATGATCAATAACATTTCATCCACATCAGCAGAAAAGAAAAGAAGCACAGTGACATTGCTCTTCATTCATATGTCAAGGAGATATTTGTCAGCGTGGGCTATGTATAAAATTAGGTTGGTGTCAGCTGAATATAAACTATGGCTATTTATAAAAACCAGGCTGTTACTGAGACAATGTTCTCGACACGTCCAAAATACAGACGCCAGGCTCGCTGGTAACAGGGGAAAGCTGTTAAAAAGTGCGTCTCCAGGGGCCCACCGCCATTGTAGAGAAAAATAAACTGACGGGAAATGTTGAATAGGGTTAAAGAAGCCTGGAAGTCACAGTGGGGTCGAGTTACACACACACACACACACTTTCACACACACACACGAAGGAAAGGAGAAAAAAACAGGTTGGGTCCCGGGAACTTTTTAATACCCATCTCCGCCCCCGTTTGAAGCGTCAGAGCACCAGCTCTCCTGGGGCTCCAACGCAGAGCCAGTCCACATGCTCCTCCAAACTTTACGCACGGATGTACTCCCGTGGAAGTATTCAGCACTGGATTTTGAAGTGTTTCAGCTGAGCCGCGTTGTTCTAAATCTACTAGAAGCAGTGCCAGAGTCATTTGGGCGGCTTCGAAATCAAAACTTTTTAAAACTTTGTGATCCTTTTTTTTTTTAAATATATGACTCGCCTTATTCCAAAAGACAGATGCAGTAAATTTGGAAAATGGCCGGTGCCTTATTAAAGTGCTTAGTCTTGGCGCTCTCAGTATGCGTGCACAGACTTTTGGCAGACCCCCGCGTTGAGACGGGTGATGAATCCGATGACAGCGCCTCGACCCTGGCCTTTGTGTTCGATGTTACCGGCTCCATGTACGACGATCTGAAACAGGTGATAGAGGGCGCCTCACGGATCCTGGAGAAGACGCTCAGCCGGAGGACCAGACCCATTAAAAACTTTGTCCTGGTCCCCTTCCACGACCCAGGTACTTTTTCTACCTTTAACACAAGTTTGTTCTTTAACTAAAGAGCCACAACTTAAGAAACTTTTTTTTTTCGTGAAAGTGGATGTATGGAATGCGTATGTTTGTTAATTCATGAATATGATTATAATTTATTGGAGCATTGACTTCAAAGGAAAAGACTTTCTTGAATTACTACAAAGAGAGCGTGGTATTTTTATAGTTTCCGCGCCTTGCACTGATTTACTATTTATATCTGCCATTTACACACTTACACTTGCAACGCATCTCAGAACGTGTAGCAGAGTGTGCTGCTGCATAGCGGCTTCAGTGGAAGCCCACTTGTAGAGAGAAGTGAAACTGATGCAAGACGTCAAGCAGGGGAGGATATGTGAGCTCACAGTGGGTCTTGGGGACAGGTAAGGCTCTTCATCCCAGCCCAGCATCTTCCTTTCTATACGGGAAAGCTGCAGCTTGAAAATAAGAGTGCTCCAATGGGGGGAGGGTGTTTGTGCGCTGATGGGAAGCATATGCTGTCTGCTTATGTGTAATTACCCCAATCGCCACCCCACACTCACCCCACCCTACTCCTGCCTCTCCTCCCTCTTCTGCCTCGCAGCCCCCCCACTGGCCAGCCGGGGGGGGGAGTTGTGGGGGTTGCCTACCCTAACGCCACACATTTTGTCTGTGTTTAATGCGCCTATCCCCTTGGGGACCTTGTAAACTTCCAAGATCCCAGAGAAGCCCTCTGTGGCTGACGAAGAGGCGTGACAGCGCCGTCGGTGTTTCCTCTCAGGCACTCTTGAGAGGTCGACAAGCACTTGAAAGCAGCTGGAGAAAACACCGAGAATGAATTAGAAATGTCATGGCCCTGACACATGTCTGCAAACTCTGTATCATTAGTCTCACAAAGATACTTCAAAATTATATTTGACAGTTGGAATAAAGAGCAATGACACACCAAAATCATGAGGTATACAAGACTGGATGAGGGTCTTTTTCTGTAATAACTGTGATGAAGTGCTCGTGTTTATGGAGGGCAGCAACACAATGCATTCCCTCTGCACTGGTTAATGTTTACTGTTCTGTAGTTTGGCCCCAGAAGACATCCAAATAAGTGTCAGGCCCTGACAGGCTTTTATCCATCATCCTTGGGTCTGGAAAATGATTATTCCGTCATCGTGCAAACTGTCGCCAGATTTTTAGTGATTTGTGTAAAACAAAATGTTACGCTGTAATTTTGTCAGCACGGCCTCTCTTGTGCCCTGTGATGTGTGATTGATATTCATGTTGTGCACAAAGGCTGTGGGGCATCATTCTGGCCTTGATAAAATGTGCTTTGGCTTAATAGGGTTTTTGATGCTGTGTGCTTTTCCTCTGCTCATAAGGGCAAAGCTGCTAAGAGGAAACAAACAAACGCTCTCCCTTCTAAAAATTCCAGACCATAGGCGTTTTGTGGTTGCAATGATTATCCTGTTCTGTATAGGCATACACTCTTCAGAAATCAGAACAGAACCGGCTGACTGGGTTTGATTTTCTTCACAGAAAGGTTTTTTTTCCTGATGTATATTTTTAATCTGACAGATATCGGCCCCGTGTCCATCACCACCGACCCAAAGAAGTTCCAGCAGGATCTGCAAGAGCTGTTTGTCCAGGTTCAGACACAGATTACATAAATTAATAATTTTGTACGAATGAAACCTTTAGATTATGGTGAACAGTATGTGGATTGCCAGCCCCTAAAACTGTAATCATGATAAGCAGCACATCTGTTGAATGTTAAGAACCCCAGATTGTACTGAATTGAACAGTTATTCAAATGTTTACTCATATAAGGCACATCGTTTATGGGACCGGTTCTTTCTTCTTTCAAAAGTAAATTAGTGCTGCTTTTATGGGTAGTGATTTAAATGTATTTAAGAAACATTTGATGTGTCTCTCCACAAAATGGATGTGTTCAACAACACGATATCTGAATGAACATTTAAAAAATATAAATATATGATTTTTTTTTTCTGGAGTTTTTAAGCAAATGTGATTCTATCACACAGGGTGGAGGCGACTGCCCTGAAATGAGTATCGGAGCCATAAAGAAAGCACTGGAGGTTTCCCTGCCTGGATCCTTTATCTATGTGTTTACTGATGCCAGGGCCAAAGACTACCGCCTGAAGAGAGATGTTCTGCAACTGGTGCAACTCCGTCAATCACAGGTACAAGGCAGGAAATTTAAACAGGCCTCTTATACATCAGGACAAAACTGATACATACTTAATCATTCCAGTGTGTGCTCTTTATTCAATGTCAAACATCCGATAGATGCAGGCTTCTCTTTGATCAAATCTATGGTATGTAAACTGATTAAAAGAAAATAAAAACATGCCCACAAGCATCTCATTTGTATTCACTGGTGCTGAATACTCCCATAATGATCAAGATGCCATTTAACTGATGTTATCTGGAACACAGTTGAACCTACAAACACGAGCCCCATCCCACACTG